CTTTATTGTAGCTACAAAACAAAAAATGAATCTTTTTTTTTGCTTTTTTTTCTTTTTTTTACTTTAAAGCCTTAAAATATGTTCTTTCTTGATGAACTCTAAATTCAAATACAGCTTTATGTTTACTGATTAACAATAGCTGATACTGCTGCTGGTGTATTGACATCTACAAAAGATAGATTAACAAAGTTATTTTTTTCCTTTTCTCAGCAAATTATTGGAGTTAATAAAAGAAAAATTTTGAAAAAGCTCCTCAACATGTGTAGATCAATGTTAAAAAAGAACGACAAAATTTAAAAGCTGAAAAAAATAAATTTAAACAATTATTCTTATTCGATTAAATAGTTTAAGACCGAACATCTGAGTTCTGAGAAGTGTTATTGAGGTAACAAAAATAATCTATGTAAAATAAGGCACGGCACTGTTGGAGAAGCAATTTGACCTTTCCTGTATTTTTCAACATCTTTCGACATCTTATCAACATCCTTTCCACATCCAATGTAATTTCAAAATTTCTGCCCCAGAATCTGCTACTTTTTCAAACAACTATTTAGCATTCTGCAACGTGAATAATGTGAAGAAGATTTTTAACCTGTAAATAGTCACCTTAGCTGCCAAACTTTTATTACGTTAACGATGCTGTGGTTGTTGCAATTTCTTTGAATTTGATTAAATAAATTGAAAACTAAGTAAAATTGTGATTATTCATAATCATGTAATAAATTTTCAAAGATTTTATGGCGAAATATTTGAAAACATTACACTGCAAGTTAAAGCAGATTATTCCCATCTTGTTAATTCCACTGGTAATGCTATAAGGCCAAAGCGGTAATATGATTAGTTGAACCAACTCCGTGTTAAAGCAAAAAGACAATACAGTTTAAGAACCGTAAAAGTGCGATAGACAATTCGGTTTAACAATGTCGGTTAGGCTGTCAAACAGACAAATTGCACTCTAGTCAATATGACACTTCTGCTTGCTGCTAAGCTTCAAGTAATGAAATTATTTAAAAATTATACCACTGCAGATAAAATGCTGCAAATAATTGTTTTTGAAATGTAATTAACAAAGTGGTTAACTGAAAAATTTATTTGTAAAACCAACACATTTTAGGAGATGAGCTGCAAGATTTGGTCGATTCTATGCTTAAAGCTGATAATGATCGACCGTCGAACTATAAGCTTAATTGGGGGACACGATGCATTCAGAACAAAACTTGTATGAAAGAACCGCAAAACAGGTAAGCTGTTGGCATGAGTTTTCCTTCTTTCACTCAGTTATTAAAGAAAAAAATCTGTTTTTACAGCAGTTGTAGAAACAGAGAAATAATAATAAAAAAAGAATGAAAATGAACTTAAAACAAGCCGGTCATATCTTTGATAGCCTGTCGACAGTTGGTTAAAAAAATGCTTTTACTTCCTTTAGTTATTGAATTGTTATTTTACTGATGAGATATGAAAGGTTGACCAAAGTAATGCAATTTAAATTGACCTAACATTATTTATTAGAATAAATTTCTGTTGCATCTCTTACCTTGTGGTTCTAATCGAATGTAACATAATAGAACGAGTTCAGTAGGTTCTAAGAATGCCCTATGAATAGAAGCTAAACGGCACTGCCTCAAATGCTGGCTTTGGCATTGCTAACTGACATCCCATTATCTACTTCTCCTTAGACAAACTTCATGAAAGCATTATGAAATAATAATGATAATAATGACGATGCCCAAGCATTTTTTAGTAAAGCCCTGTATGAAAGTGTAGACGCAGCGTTGCTAAATAAACCTCAGTACAGCGCTCTTCTTCAGCTTTACGAAGACTTCTCTCCAGAGGTAACTTACTATTACATTCTGTTCTTCAAATTGTTAACCGAATATTTGGTGCTTTTCTAATACAGACACGTAGGTAGAAAATGAAGCTGTATACTTCAATAAAGCACTGATTTTATTTTCTTATAGTTTAATGGCATCATAAAAATAGGTGCAAAAAGAAAGGTGGAAAGATAGAATCACTGTATGCCAAACAATATAGTTTTTTATTAGAACTTTTGCTTTTTTTTCTGTCTTTTATTCATATATTTCAGTGTCAAATTTGAGAGACCAGGAAAAAATTTTGAAAGATGAAAGCTGTTCAAGTCATTCTCCGATAAAGTTAATAGAGTTGCCAAATTTGGCTGCAAAATTTGGAAGTTTATAACGCTATAAGAAGTTACAAAAATTTTAAACCTCTTGGTTTTTTGAGTAAATTGTGTTTCTTACTTTTCCACTTTTGTCAGAATATTCAGCTGTACAATCTGTGAAAAGAATTGACAAAAAATATAAGGAGAGATTGTTTACAGAAAGAATAAAACTAAAAAAAATCGTTTTAAAAACTTTTTGAGAAGCTATAAATGCGATAATTTTATGTTCAGCAATGTATCTAGTAAAGTTAGAAATTGAATTAATAGTCGGTAAATGTAAACTGATCTGAAATTGTAACTACTACACTGACATTCGACATTTTTCATCTATCGTAGCAAAGAATCGAGTAATGGGACAGGGTTACTGTCATTTCAATGGCGTCTGCACAAATTTAAACCTTGGCGCAGGTGGTGGGGCAACGAGAACTAGCTCTGCATTGCTATTTTAATAGTAATTCTCCTAAATTTTATGGAATACAACTTGGCGAGAATTCATTTTTCAAAATTTCTTTTTGAGTTTTTAAATTTAGAGCAGAAATACACTAACCAACAAAACTCAAAAAAAAAAGACTACAAACATCAGCAGAAAAACAAAGCGTACTATTTAATGTCAAATCGCAAAACTTTTTTAAAAAAAGCTAATTTTTATTTGTATTCGTGCATTTAGAATTTTGTATGAAACTTGCCAGCTATATATTTATCTGGTAATTAACAGTTTACGAAACTGCATTTAACATTCAACTGAACTCTAACTCAGAAAGACTTGTTTTAAACAAAAAACGCCTTCTCAGCAACCTGTACGACTTCCATGTTCTTTAATTAAATTTGCATCTATTTACACGAGGAATACCAAACAGCCGTTTTTAAAAAATATAATTTGTTGATCAATCGCATATGTATTCATCAACTAAATTTTAGGTATGTATAAATGAAATGATAAATATTGATAGACGAAATCATATCAATAACGTTATCGATAGCTTCACAGCTACAGAAGTCTATAAGATAGCCTACAGATATCTACAAGATAAAGGTCAATTTTGAGCTTTTTTTGACAGATCTTGTTTTGATGTTATTATTCTTTTTTTGGTAATTTAACTTCGTTTACAGGGAAAGCTGGAGATGTACCTGCATTTAAAGAACTCTTAAAGAATTTTTGGTTTGGTTTATACAGTCGTTGTAAAAGTAGTTCAGTAACAGGAAGTTCTGGTATGTAATATATTCACAAAAATATGTATATATGTGTCTGTTAAAAATATTTTCAAAAGTTTGCAATTTTTAAGTTAAGATGACGATTACACCTTTGGTAGCACATTTTTAGGCTTTGAACATGTTTTCATTGGTGAGTGGAGAGATAGCATAGTTGATGGCTTACACTCCTGGTTTCGATACTATAATCTCGAAAAAGATGGTGCAATCAAATATTACGGTTTCCATAGTCACAATGAGGTGTAAGGCAAATGACTATTTGGCAACTATATGTTTCTGAAGCTTAAAAGAGCTGTTAACAGTGTAGCTAATATTAGTCTATTGTAAAACAAGAACTTATCGAAATTGCTTGATATACAAAAATAGTTGTTTAATTTTGTCTGAAGCTAATGTACTCTGATTTAGGATAATTTTGCCTCGATAAAATATAAATGGAATAACTATATGAAGCAAATTGGTAGCTTTTTTCTCAAAACTTCTCCAGGTTGTCTTTACTATTAAAAAATGTTTGCTTTTTTTTTTTTTTTTTTTGTATGTGGGAACACCATTGTGTAATCTTAAGAAACAACGTATCACTTTAAGTTATTTTATTTGTAAGTAAAAAACATATAATATTCTGCGTGTTTTTTTTTAGCGTTTGATTTCTCACTTTTTACGGTGTGCGCATTGACAAGGCCTGGAAATAACGCTTGTAATTTTAAAATGGACGGGCATAACATCACGATAGTCACTCTAGTCCAAGACGGACGAAATGGTCAAGTGCTAGCCACTGCATATCCGAGGAGTGAAGCTACTAATTTAGCTACTAGTTTTGTAATTGATTGGTTTCTTATACTAACACTGGCAGCATTATCTCGGAATGTGCTGGCTAAATACTGATAAATTGGGTTTTTTTTACACGTTTTCATAGTGCTCGATAAGAGAGAAATGTCGTTTTCAAAAATAAATTTTGTTGTTATCGGTAATGTATAATTAATTTATCAATACCTGTCTCACACTAATTTTATATAACTTTTTCCTCTCTTTTTCCGCTATTGCAGACAAATTTTCTGCTTCACTTTTGACTGTATCGACTGTATCGACATAAAAAGCTTCAAATGTCAAGACGCAACAACGTGAAAGATTTCAGCTGATTTTGACTTTTATTTGAACAATCTTTGTATTTCGACACGAGGATTTATTAAAATCTACAGAGCTTTTTATTAATTTATAGCTTTAATTTTTATTTACTAGTCAGAAAGTCACTAAATAGAGTCCATTTTCTTCGGAAGCAGTAATCAAAAAGTTCTTTACTAGGTCTCATGATTGCAATCTTATGTCAAAAATGAATAAATATTTGTTTTAGCAAGATCTATATGTCTCCTTCCAAACACCTGTTGAAAACAAAAAATTTTGTGAAGCTTCATTAAATTTTTGGCAGACATGAATTAAGAATGCTTAGTCTGATGGTAATAAATGAACATTTATAGCAAAAGTTCTTAGTGTTTCAATGCTCATATATCTATTACTTGCTTAGAAAAAAGTATTTTAAACTGGTTAAATCACTCTATCTCAAATTTTTCTTATCTATAGCTATGCGTTAGGTAATGATATAACTATGAAAGAACGACACATTTGTTATAAATGATAATTTTCAAATGTTTTTACATTTACATATGCCATAATTTAACGTTTCCAAAACTTTTTTGATTAGGCAATGAACGTCTGTAAGATTGAAATTCTAATGCTGTTTCAGCTATTTTTTCTGCTACTTGCTTCAATCCATTTAATTATTTATTCTTTGTTGCGGTAACAATAGTAAAAAGGTATCAAAATTTGTGAACTATCGTCTAACCTTCTTAATGTGCTTCTTCTGTGCGGTTATACAAAAAGTACGCGTATGAGATCACTGTTTCAGCAGAAGCAACATTTTTTAAATGGAATATGAAAAATAAATAATTTTGAAGTAAATTTTGGTGAAGGTTAAAGAGGTTCAACTAATGAAAATCGTGTTTTTCAAATTTCAATATATAATGGAAGTGCATCAAAATTCTTAAAATGCAACAAAAATTTTCTCGACTTTGAAGCTTGATGTGAATCACTTCTGGCAAATAATGCCAAAGTTTTCGTTTCTGCAAAAAACTGCAATTTTTCACAAAGAAATTGGTGCGTTTTTTAGTGCCATCAACAGCACTACCATTTAAAGTGTGTAAGCTGAACGTTTTTCTGACAAAAGATATTCTGGGAAAAAAGTGAGACGGTTTACTAAACTGATCAGGACCTTATTTTGGATATATGGTTGCATGATGAGCCGCCGTAATTTCAAATTATTTGAATATTGTGGTTTAATTATAGTGAAACACACCAAATTCTTCGTCTTATAAGCTTTTTGATTTATCTGCTAAGCTACCGAAGTTGTCAAATATCTCAAGAACCTCTGGTAGTTTATATACCTAATTCTAGTAGACTCTATCAGTTCATCTTGAAATTTTCATGATAATACTGTGACTTTGAACTCCTAAGAGTTTCTCGCTTTAAGCCTGCTTTTTACAGTTTGTTTTTTTCTAAAGAATCTTTCGACATGTGTTTCAGTTTTAAATAAAAACTGGTAAACGTTGGGTCTCAAGTGGAAATTTTAGGATTCTGAAGCGTTTACGCTTCTGCCGCCGAAGACTTGACACGCAACTAAATTTGGACAAATTTTACTCTTATTTTTGCAGTGAGCAGGTGTACTATTTCTTCTCATTGGTGTAAAATTTTTTATTGGTTTGTTTATTTCAGTACTACCGTTCAGAAGGGCGGTCTGCTGAACGTCAGAGCAGACAACCAAAGTAACTTGTATCAATGCACTCACTTATTGCCCGATTCCTCTGTCTTTTTTTACAGAGCCCATTTGTTTCTGACGTTCCCATAGGTTATTCTTCCGTATAATGGTTTTCTTCTACTTGTTTTCCATTGACTTTTGCAGCTTTCTTCCGCATTGCAGCTGCAATTTTTCATTGTTTGGAAATCTGTTTCGTCGTGGTTTTGCGCGATATGTGAAAAACAGTTCTTTGGTTTCAGGAAGATGGTCGAATGGATACGACGCACAAAGATTTCAAGATGCGGTAGACGCTATGCGTAGGACAGACAGTGAGAAGCCTGTCGATTACAAGCTCAACTGGGGCCGACCTTGCACAGCAAGAATCGCTCAGGAAAAGTAATATTGTATGTAAAGTTAAGCATTGTATCAGAAGACTGGCAAAAGAAATCAAAAGCTGTAAGAGATAGAATGGAAAGAAATTTATTGGATGGTTTTCATATTGCCCATTTGATTCCGTACTTGTCCTCTGCCGTTCTCAGGCTTAAGCTTTTAAAAATATTTTAGAGTCAAAAAGTCATAACACTTTCGAATTCTGCTACTCGTTTGTTCGAAATTGATAATGACCAGTGGGACCCATCTAAGCGGCTAGATGTCCATTGATTTTTCAGAGTAATCTGTTTTCTTACAATATCAGTTCTTTCAACATTTTGTAAACGGTGCATTGCAGTAAAGATACACGTTGACTAAATGACTTTATGATCTCTTTGTTCATAAAAGTTGGAAAAAAAGCATAACTTTTACAGACTATTTACGTATGTCAATCCTAATACGTTTCGACCTCGCCAATATGAAGCACTTCTTGCACTCTATCGATATGTTGTAAGTATTATAGAAAAATAAGTAACATAGGTTACTTTTAGTTTGCAAAAACTATTGCTTTGTTTAAAAGCAGTGAATTAATCCGAACATGACGTATTTTGTTGCTTAAAGTGCAACAGTCAGCAGCAGTTGTTTCAAATCATACATATATAAGTTGCAGAAGTCGCCAAGCTGCTGCGCAAAAGCCTTACCTTTCAAAACTTGCGACTCAGCTCAACTCCAATTAAATTTAATAAGTTTTGGTCTATTGGGTTTTGAGTGTATTCTAATTCTGTATTTAAGTGCGTATTATATAATCTGTTAAATGATTGGGTAGTTACTACAGAAGTAAAGCTTTAAAAAAAACAATAAAGACCACAAGAATTTTTCTAGAAAAAGAAATATTTTTTGAAGAATTTTTTGTTTCGTAAAACATCAAAGTCTAGCAGTGGATTTGGCAGGATCCAGAATTTTGTGTTTGAAAACAAGGCGAAGCTAATTGACATTATTATTGTTATAATAACCGTTTGTATGAAATAACACTTCAGCCATCTTTTATCGCTAAAGCTTTTTAATTTGGTCAGGTCGTAACAGACTTGGAAAAAATAAGTTTTTAGCATTTGAAGGGCTAAAGCAAAGTTGCATAAATTTTCTTAAACTTGGGCACTTATACGTCTGTATGGCAAAACCTGGCAGCTTCTTTATTACATTTACGCATCATTTCCGCCAGTGGCATCAAAGAAAACGGCAAAATTTTTTACCAGCAAGATATGCAAAGGTGCGCTGAACGAGTGAAATGTTGAAAATTTATGTTGCTATCCTGTTAACATAGGGAAAAACCGCGTAGCAATCCATCGTCTGCTGCAGATGATGCAGAATTTGAGGAGTAAGAGATGTTGAAGTATGGGACTTGCTGCAGGTTCTCACAGTAATAATATGCAAAAATTTTTCCAATTTCATAAAATCTAGTAACTAAAATTTGTTAGGTCTTAACTAAAGTTCAGTCGAACAAGTCAGGAAGATAAACATTTCGCACAGCAACTTGTTAAACTCTGCGACTCTGAAGAGGAAAAACAGTAGAGAGCCACCCTTTCCTAGTCCTTTTTTCATTTTTTCAGTGTCACACTGTCAGTCTGGAAGGAAATTTTAAATACTTCTAAATTGAAAAAGTCTGCAAAGTGAAATGGAATAAAAATTTTTTTACTTTGTTTCGTTTGTGCTACCTTTCAGATTTTTATTTTGCTACACATTTATTTAAATAACTCAGGAAAATCAT